TTTCTTCAAAATTTGCACAGACACTCTCCTGGGCCCCCTCTTCAATCTGGCTGAAGAAACCTACCGGGGAATCCAAAGGAAGGGGCCCAAAGAGGGCCCCAAAGAGGCCCTTTCTAAGTATTGCCCCTAATTTCGCGACCAACCCCGGCAATATGCACATCATTGGAAAGAGCGTAATTTCCCAAACAAAAAACCCAAGTAACATTTTTCGATGGGGCCCACCTGGGGCCCACGGGACCCAATTGAAATTTGGGGCCCAATGGGGCGGCCCCTACGATTTTCTTCAAAATTTGCACACACACTCTCCTGGGCCCCCTCTTCAATCTGGCTGAAGAAACCTACCGGGGAATCCAAAGGAAGGGGCCCAAAGAGGGCCCCAAAGAGGCCCTTTCTAAGTATTGCCCCTAATTTCGCGACCAACCCCGGCAATATGCACATCATTGGAAAGAGCGTAATTTCCCAAACAAAAAACCCAAGTAACATTTTTCGATGGGGCCCACCTGGGGCCCACGGGACCCAATTGAAATTTGGGGCCCAATGGGGCGGCCCCTACGATTTTCTTCAAAATTTGCACAGACACTCTCCTGGGCCCCCTCTTCAATCTGGCTGAAGAAACCTACCGGGGAATCCAAAGGAAGGGGCCCAAAGAGGGCCCCAAAGAGGCCCTTTCTAAGTATTGCCCCTAATTTCGCGACCAACCCCGGCAATATGCACATCATTGGAAAGAGCGTAATTTCCCAAACAAAAAACCCAAGTAACATTTTTCGATGGGGCCCACCTGGGGCTCACGGGACCCAATTGAAATTTGGGGCCCAATGGGGCGGCCCCTACGATTTTCTTCAAAAATTGCACAGACACTCTCCTGGGCCCCCTCTTCAATCTGGCTGAAGAAACCTACCCCCAAATTTCAATTGGGTCCCGTGGGCCCCAGGTGGGCCCCATCGAAAAATGTTACTTGGGTTTTTTGTTTGGGAAATTACGCTCTTTCCAATGATGTGCATATTGCCGGGGTTGGTCGCGAAATTAGGGGCAATACTTAGAAAGGGCCTCTTTGGGGCCCTCTTTGGGCCCCTTCCTTTGGATTCCCCGGTAGGTTTCTTCAGCCAGATTGAAGAGGGGGCCCAGGAGAGTGTCTGTGCAAATTTTGAAGAAAATCGTAGGGGCCGCCCCATTGGGCCCCAAATTTCAATTGGGTCCCGTGGGCCCCAGGTGGGCCCCATCGAAAAATGTTACTTGGGTTTTTTGTTTGGGAAATTACGCTCTTTCCAATGATGTGCATATTGCCGGGGTTGGTCGCGAAATTAGGGGCAATACTTAGAAAGGGCCTCTTTGGGGCCCTCTTTGGGCCCCTTCCTTTGGATTCCCCGGTAGGTTTCTTCAGCCAGATTGAAGAGGGGGCCCAGGAGAGTGTCTGTGCAAATTTTGAAGAAAATCGTAGGGGCCGCCCCATTGGGCCCCAAATTTCAATTGGGTCCCGTGGGCCCCAGGTGGGCCCCATCGAAAAATGTTACTTGGATTTTTTGTTTGGGAAATTACGCTCTTTCCAATGATGTGCATATTGCCGGGGTTGGTCGCGAAATTAGGGGCAATACTTAGAAAGGGCCTCTTTGGGGCCCTCTTTGGGCCCCTTCCTTTGGATTCCCCGGTAGGTTTCTTCAGCCAGATTGAAGAGGGGGCCCAGGAGAGTGTCTGTGCAAATTTTGAAGAAAATCGTAGGGGCCGCCCCATTGGGCCCCAAATTTCAATTGGGTCCCGTGGGCCCCAGGTGGGCCCCATCGAAAAATGTTACTTGGTTTTTTTGTTTGGGAAATTACGCTCTTTCCAATGATGTGCATATTGCCGGGGTTGGTCGCGAAATTAGGGGCAATACTTAGAAAGGGCCTCTTTGGGGCCCTCTTTGGGCCCCTTCCTTTGGATTCCCCGGTAGGTTTCTTCAGCCAGATTGAAGAGGGGGCCCAGGAGAGTGTCTGTGCAAATTTTGAAGAAAATCGTAGGGGCCGCCCCATTGGGCCCCAAATTTCAATTGGGTCCCGTGGGCCCCAGGTGGGCCCCATCGAAAAATGTTACTTGGGTTTTTTGTTTGGGAAATTACGCTCTTTCCAATGATGTGCATATTGCCGGGGTTGGTCGCGAAATTAGGGGCAATACTTAGAAAGGGCCTCTTTGGGGCCCTCTTTGGGCCCCTTCCTTTGGATTCCCCGGTAGGTTTCTTCAGCCAGATTGAAGAGGGGGCCCAGGAGAGTGTCTGTGCAAATTTTGAAGAAAATCGTAGGGGCCGCCCCATTGGGCCACAAATTTCAATTGGGTCCCGTGGGCCCCAGGTGGGCCCCATCGAAAAATATTACTTGGGTTTTTTGTTTGGGAAATTACGCTCTTTCCAATGATGTGCATATTGCCGGGGTTCGTCGCGAAATTAGGGGCAATACTTAGAAAGGGCCTCTTTGGGGCCCTCTTTGGGCCCCTTCCTTTGGATTCCCCGGTAGGTTTCTTCAGCCAGATTGAAGAGGGGGCCCAGGAGAGTGTCTGTGCAAATTTTGAAGAAAATCGTAGGGGCCGCCCCATTGGGCCCCAAATTTCAATTGGGTCCCGTGGGCCCCAGGTGGGCCCCATCGAAAAATGTTACTTGGGTTTTTTGTTTGGGAAATTACGCTCTTTCCAATGATGTGCATATTGCCGGGGTTGGTCGCGAAATTAGGGGCAATACTTAGAAAGGGCCTCTTTGGGGCCCTCTTTGGGCCCTTTCCTTTGGATTCCCCGGTAGGTTTCTTCAGCCAGATTGAAGAGGGGGCCCAGGAGAGTGTCTGTGCAAATTTTGAAGAAAATCGTAGGGGCCGCCCCATTGGGCCCCAAATTTCAATTGGGTCCCGTGGGCCCCAGGTGGGCCCCATCGAAAAATGTTACTTGGGTTTTTTGTTTGGGAAATTACGCTCTTTCCAATGATGTGCATATTGCCGGGGTTGGTCGCGAAATTAGGGGCAATACTTAGAAAGGGCCTCTTTGGGGCCCTCTTTGGGCCCCTTCCTTTGGATTCCCCGGTAGGTTTCTTCAGCCAGATTGAAGAGGGGGCCCAGGAGAGTGTGTGTGCAAATTTTGAAGAAAATCGTAGGGGCCGCCCCATTGGGCCCCAAATTTCAATTGGGTCCCGTGGGCCCCAGGTGGGCCCCATCGAAAAATGTTACTTGGGTTTTTTGTTTGGGAAATTACGCTCTTTCCAATGATGTGCATATTGCCGGGGTTGGTCGCGAAATTAGGGGCAATACTTAGAAAGGGCCTCTTTGGGGCCCTCTTTGGGCCCCTTCCTTTGGATTCCCCGGTAGGTTTCTTCAGCCAGATTGAAGAGGGGGCCCAGGAGAGTGTCTGTGCAAATTTTGAAGAAAATCGTAGGGGCCGCCCCATTGGGCCCCAAATTTCAATTGGGTCCCGTGGGCCCCAGGTGGGCCCCATCGAAAAATGTTACTTGGGTTTTTTGTTTGGGAAATTACGCTCTTTCCAATGATGTGCATATTGCCGGGGTTGGTCGCGAAATTAGGGGCAATACTTAGAAAGGGCCTCTTTGGGGCCCTCTTTGGGCCCCTTCCTTTGGATTCCCCGGTAGGTTTCTTCAGCCAGATTGAAGAGGGGGCCCAGGAGAGTGTCTGTGCAAATTTTGAAGAAAATCGTAGGGGCCGCCCCATTGGGCCCCAAATTTCAATTGGGTCCCGTGGGCCCCAGGTGGGCCCCATCGAAAAATGTTACTTGGGTTTTTTGTTTGGGAAATTACGCTCTTTCCAATGATGTGCATATTGCCGGGGTTGGTCGCGAAATTAGGGGCAATACTTAGAAAGGGCCTCTTTGGGGCCCTCTTTGGGCCCCTTCCTTTGGATTCCCCGGTAGGTTTCTTCAGCCAGATTGAAGAGGGGGCCCAGGAGAGTGTCTGTGCAAATTTTGAAGAAAATCGTAGGGGCCGCCCCATTGGGCCCCAAATTTCAATTGGGTCCCGTGGGCCCCAGGTGGGCCCCATCGAAAAATATTACTTGGGTTTTTTGTTTGGGAAATTACGCTCTTTCCAATGATGTGCATATTGCCCGGGTTGGTCGCGAAATTAGGGGCAATACTTAGAAAGGGCCTCTTTGGGGCCCTCTTTGGGCCCCTTCCTTTGGATTCCCCGGTAGGTTTCTTCAGCCAGATTGAAGAGGGGGCCCAGGAGAGTGTCTGTGCAAATTTGGAAGAAAATCGTAGGGGCCGCCCCATTGGGCCCCAAATTTCAATTGGGTCCCGTGGGCCCCAGGTGGGCCCCATCGAAAAATGTTACTTGGGTTTTTTGTTTGGGAAATTACGCTCTTTCCAATGATGTGCATATTGCCGGGGTTGGTCGCGAAATTAGGGGCAATACTTAGAAAGGGCCTCTTTGGGGCCCTCTTTGGGCCCCTTCCTTTGGATTCCCCGGTAGGTTTCTTCAGCCAGATTGAAGAGGGGGCCCAGGAGAGTGTCTGTGCAAATTTTGAAGAAAATCGTAGGGGCCGCCCCATTGGGCCCCAAATTTCAATTGGGTCCCGTGGGCCCCAGGTGGGCCCCATCGAAAAATATTACTTGGGTTTTTTGTTTGGGAAATTACGCTCTTTCCAATGATGTGCATATTGCCCGGGTTGGTCGCGAAATTAGGGGCAATACTTAGAAAGGGCCTCTTTGGGGCCCTCTTTGGGCCCCTTCCTTTGGATTCCCCGGTAGGTTTCTTCAGCCAGATTGAAGAGGGGGCCCAGGAGAGTGTCTGTGCAAATTTGGAAGAAAATCGTAGGGGCCGCCCCATTGGGCCCCAAATTTCAATTGGGTCCCGTGGGCCCCAGGTGGGCCCCATCGAAAAATGTTACTTGGGTTTTTTGTTTGGGAAATTACGCTCTTTCCAATGATGTGCATATTGCTGGATTTTGTCGATGTTATAGGCCTGAAATTGTTGAAAACGTTTATTTATGCCCCGAGGGCATACTCCCGGGCCCATATATTTGAAGCTGTTTTGTTCGGTTCAGGGGGGCGCTAGCCCCCTAAATTTGGTACCGTTGCACGTAAACTTTTGTCCTCTTTCGAATGACGTGCATTTTTAGCTGTTTTGACGGCTAGAAGTAGGGTTTTCAAAGTTCGTCGATTGTGCCCTGAGGGCATACTGTTTTTTGGGATTTGTGGCCCCCCTGATGGATTCCCCGCATTTTGGCACTAGGATTTTCGATAGAGGACACCATTCTGCACCTCTCCACCAAAATTCAGCGTAATCGTAGGGGCCGTCGATCCCTGCTGAATCCCTGCTGAACCCCTGCTGAATCCCTGCTAACTTCCGTTACATTAAAAACATTAAAAGAAGCAGTGATCTTTGTTTTATTGATATTGAAAGTAATTCATTCATGGCACGTGGTCGCGTTCCTGTGAAAACACATGTTGATTCATAAAGCATCTTTGAGTTTGCTTTAAATTCAAGAGCAGAGCTGCAGGCTCCTTCACGCATTGATATCAATCACAATCATTACATGCTTTGAGTTTTTCTGAAAAGGTTGGATTCAAAGTTCAAACTCAGGTGAGGCGGTTTTATATTGATATAGCCTTGGGTGAGGCTCAGGCTGATTCAGGTTCTGGATTACTCCTCATGTCAGTGTTTGGTCAACTTCAGTGTTCCTTGCGTTGGGCTGGGCCATTTCCTACCATATCAATATCATTGCTATTGGTCCTGATATAAATTATTTTGAATAATTGACTTTTGCCATATCTATATCAGTATTGGTTAGGTTAGGTTATATTGATATCAGTATTGGTATGGCATGATTGATGAGTGATGACTGATGCTGAATTATTTTATCACCCTATTATCACCAGTGTAGCGGTCAACTGAGTGTATTTCAACACAAGCGCCTCTAGTGGCGACCGGGCGAGGTAGTCACATGACGTAAGCGCACTACGCGCTACACCTCCCCACCAAGTTCAACACACACCTCCCCCCCACAAAAAAAAACAAGCTTCTAACGACACTTGTGGCACGAGCACGGAGACACAGACACTATGCCTACTGCGTCTTCAGCGGCGGCCTGCCTCTCGTACGAATGACACCGCGTCCAGCGACATGCGGCACGTGACAGGTTTTCAGGTTATTTACATGCACAACGACCGATTTCCCATCAGAGTCTCGGATGCGATAGTTTACATCAGACGTTCTGTGGGTGACAGTAAACGGGCCAGACCAGATCGGCTGCAGTTTCGGCGAGACACCCACCTTGCGAATAGGCCGTTTCCAAAATACATCATCGCCCACTTTGAGCTCACGAACTTTGACATGTTTCGCCGAATTGTACCCGTCTGCTCGTTTCGCCGCTGCTCGCTTCGACACATCACGAGCCGTAGCCCTCACATCAGACAGCCGAGCCATGAGACCCGAGCTCGTCACCTCGCGCATACTCGAGTGGAGCGTGTCAATCGGCAACTGCGCGCGTCTACAAAACAGCAACTCGAACGGCGTTGACTGAGTTGTCTCACACACGGCGGTCCGGTAAGCAAAGGCCAACGACTGTAAGTTCTGATCCCAACTCGCCTTGTGTTCTCCCACATACGACCGTATCATATTGAGCAGTGTTCTGTTAAAACGCTCGACCATGTCAGACTGTGGGTGATACGGAGAAGTCGTCCTATGCTTAATGCCTAGTTTTTCACAAAACTGTTTAAACGAAGCACTCATCCATTGCGTCCCCTGGTCAGTTACTATCTCAGACGGAAACCCATGACGACAGAAAACATGATCAAACAGCCAGCTCTGAATGACCTCCGTCTCAGTCGACGGTAGGGCTGTCATCTCGGGCCACTTCGAAAAATAGTCCTGACAAACCACGATAAATCTAGCACCGCTCTCTGTCACCGGTAAGATCGGGCCAACAATGTCTACAGAGACTTTTTCCCACACGTTCAGGGCAGACGTGTCTACCGGTGTCAATGGCGCCGTCGGAACAGGGTTATCTTTCACAGTGCAGCACACGATACATCCTTTTACATGTTGTTTTATATCCCTGGTCATTCTCGGCCAAAAATAACGCTCCTGTACACGCCGAACGGTCTTCTTGGATCCGGCGTGACCCGCCAATGGGTCATCATGAAGCAACTTGATGATGCCGTCGCGTTGGGACCGCGGTACCACCAGCTGTTCTCCGAAGACCGGATGCACATGGCAGAGCGCACCACGCCCGTTCACTCGGAACTCGTCCGGCTTCCTGTCCTGCAGCTGGCGCACGCCGTCATCAGTCGCCAGCTCAGAGCGCCAGTCAGCGACACTAGCGACACACTGCGGCTGCTCCGGGAACGACCGGCTGAGCACGTCCGGGACGACATGTTCAGATCCTGCGACGTGATGAATGCTGATGTCGAACTCCTCCAGTAGTAGCGCCCAGCGACCCAGCCGACCAGTCAGATCCTTCTTGGAGCGCAACCACTGAAGAGGCTTGTGATCCGTGAACAGACGTACCGGCCGTCCCACCAGCAGGTGACGCCATCTCTTCAAAGCGTGTACAATCGCGCATGCTTCTTTTTCTATTACGGAGTAGTGTCGCTGTGACTTGTTGAATGCTCTGCTGCTGAACTCCACAGGCTGGCCGTCTGCCTCTAGTACGCAGCCGAAGCCATTCTCGCTGGCGTCGGTCCGCACTGATAGCTGTGACGATTCCGTAGGAATCTTCAGAGCCGGACGTTCAGCCAGCAGGGCCTTCAGCCGACGAAACGCTGTCTCGTGCGCGCCATCCCAGAGGAATGACTTCCCCTTCTGCAAAAGATCGTGCAACGGCCTCGCAATCAAGCTGAATTCCGCGATGTGCGACCTATAGAAGCCGCACAGGCCCAGGAACTTCCTGAGAGCTGTCTGATCGCCAGGCCGCGGTATCGCCTCAACAGCTCTGATGTGCTCCTTCGTCGGTCGAATCATACCACCCTCGATGCTGAAGCCAAGGAACGACTCCAGGGATGTCAGCAGAAACCGGCACTTCTCGCCGTTCAGCGTCAGTCCAGCTTCTCGTAGTCTCTGCAAGACAGAGCGCAGATCCTCCAAATGTGACGACTCGTCCCGGCTGTGGATGCACCAGTCATCGAAATACGCTGCCACACATGGCAGGTCTTGTGTCAGCCTCTGCACCAGACGGTTGAACGTACTGGGACCGTTGCAGAGACCGAACGGCATTGTACGAAATTGCAGTAGCTGGCCATTAAACTGGAAGGCCGTCTTCTTTCTGTCCTGTTCCCTGAGAGGGATCTGATAGTATCCCGAGCGAGCATCGAGCACTGAGAACACTGTCGACTCCGCCAGCTTCCCGATGACGTCTGACACCAGCGGCACAGGCTGACGATCTTTCACCGTCACCTCATTCAGTTTCCTGAAATCAATACAGACACGTATGTCGCCGCTTTTCTTTTTAACAAGCACCACGGGGTTCATGTAGTCACTGTCACTTTGTTCTAGCACCCCATCACGAAGCATTTGATCGATTGCACTTTGAGCTCGAGACATATATGCCGCTGGCAGTTTATGAGGGCGACACACTATGGGCTGGTCACATGTTGTTTCTATCTTATGCTCTATCAAACTGGTGCGCCCGAGACCATTGAACACGTCCGCAAACTGGCTCTTAAGCTTTTCAAGTCCGTTACACGAAGCATCGCTGCTATCATCAAAGTCACACTCGCTCAGTAAGTCCTCACCGGTAGCCAGCATCCCGACCTCGTGGAAGCATCCCTCCTCCCAGTCCAGCAGCGGCGCCTCACCGGCGGCAGTATCTTCCTTCACGCTGTGTCTCGCAGATGGCGCCACCGGAGCGGAGGGAGTCGCAGATGGCGCCACCGGAGCGGAGGGAGGCGCAGGCGGCGCCCCACTCTGAGCAGTCTCAACGTAGCCCAGAGATGGCGCCACCGGCGCGACGACCGTCCCTCCGACGCAGGCGCCACCGGAGCCAGGTGACGTCACACTGTCGGCCGCGCCAGCTGGGTGTCGATTCACACCGACAAGCACAGCTCCACGGTCGAAGTCGATGGACGCGCCGAACTTCTGCAGAAGGTCTGCCCCCACCACGCCGCGCTGCACGTCGGTGACGATGAAGTCGTGCATCAGCGTGGCGCCACTGAGCGAGACAGAGCAGTTCAGCAGACCATACACAGGCATTCTCGACCCATTGGCAGCGATAACATAGTCGTCTTTAGCCATGGAGTTGGGCCGGAAAGAAGTGGGCAGACAGCTGACGGTGGCACCGCTATCTGCCAGAAGCTGCATCGGACAGCCATCGATGTCGATGTCGACGTAGACACGGCCATCATCGGAGACGGGTGAAACCGCGATGCCCTCCATCCGTCTACCAGCCAGTCCGTCGCCGGGAGCGCGGCACTGTGCACGCACATGACCAGCAATACCGCAGCGCCAGCATACCGCCCTCGGGCCAGACCGCGCCGGGTCGCCGCTCCTCACTCCTCCCCTCGGAGCGGCCGGCGAACGCACCGTGCGCCAGGTCACGTGATCACCACCGGCAGCGCCTCCAGAGCCGCGCGACCCGAGCCGGCCGCTGAGGCTGAAGCACATCAGCGCTGAGTTGACAGCCTCTTCCAGCTTACGGCAGGAGCCAGAGTTCAACACTGCTGCCCTCATAGGATCTGGCAGTCCACAGACAAAAAAATCACGAGCAAGAGCTGCCTTATTGCTCGCTGCAAACCGCGGGTAAACTTGTTCAACTAAAGTCACCACACGGTCACGGTACTTCTCGACCGGTTCAAGGTCAGCCATTCGAACACGAAACAAATCGAGCATAAACGCATCACGGTACGGCTCTCCAACTTTAGTGAGATACGTTTTGATTTTGGCAAAGCTCTTCTTGTCAGCCTCCGGGCAGTCTGTCAGCACAGTATTGCCCATACCGAGCAGCGCAGGAAAAATCCTGGCTTTCACAGTATCGTCCCACGCGTTGGCCGTCGCCACAGCCTCAAAGTAGTCGATGTAATCGGTGATCGTGCACTGTTCGGTTTTAGGCTGCGGCGGTACAAGCACTTGCACTCTCGTATCACTTTCACCATCCATGGTGTGGGGCTCAGACTGCGGAGCGGCCCACCCGCTGCCACCAGATGTAGCGGTCAACTGAGTGTATTTCAACACAAGCGCCTCTAGTGGCGACCGGGCGAGGTAGTCACATGACGTAAGCGCACTACGCGCTACACCAGGCATTTTGTTGGACAACTAACTAGGTACCTACTTCATGCCTTTCAGTTTTGTTTTTCATCACTTTACATTGAATTTGAAATATTCTATAATGAGCATTTATTTATTTATTTATTAACTCATATTTCTGTGTTCAAAATGTAAGCAGTGGTGTGGAGTATTCTTCACTCCATGACAATGACCTGTCATTTGTGTGTCTTGATATTTACAAAACATCTTTCAGGGGAAAACCAAGCAAGGGCTACAACATGAAAGTGAAAAAGGGCAAAGCATCAAAAATCGGACCCTCTAAGAAGCCTCTTAAGCACAATGCTCCCAAGATATTCAAAACTAAAAAGCAGAAGGGCAAGAAGAGAAGCAAGAAATCATCCCAGGCACCTGTGGTAAAATCTGTTGTACCAGTTGAGGCATCAGGCCGTGTCAATGAGATTCTGAGCCACATCCACCAGCTGAAGCCCGTCCGGCCAGTGGCGCAGGCTGCCGCGGCACCTAGCAGCCCCTCCGCCCCCTCCCCGTCCCCGGCGGCGGCACCACCGCCGCTGAAGAAGCCGCGCGCCGAGCGGCAGGCATTCCTTCCCCCTCCGGTCCCGGAGGACGCCGGGGACGGCGGTGACGCAGATGGCGCCCCGGAGCCGCAGACCGCCGCTCGCGGCAAGAAGAAACGGCGGAAGATGAAGCTGGCGAAGCGGAAACTGCGGAGGGAGGAACTGCTGGCCGCCGCGGAGACTCCGGGGGCCAAACTGGAATCGGCTCGGTTCAGGTCAGCCACGGGTCACGAGTTCACTCTTGGGGAGTAGGGGAAGAGGGCAGACTTGATGGGATGAGTCATTGCATAAATGGGCCGTGGAACGGCCTTTTTAATTTCTCTTGTCGGCACTAATGCGCAAATACGCGGGATGTGACCCGACCTATTGCCCTCACCACTCACCAGGTACCTGAACGAGCAGCTGTACACGAGGACCGGGTTCGAGGCGCTGAAGATGTTCTCGCGCGACCGGGAGTCGTTTGACGCCTACCACCAGGGCTTCCGCAACCAGGTGGCCAAGTGGCCCGTCAACCCGCTCGACCTCATTATCAAGAACGTCAACAAAATGTAAGGCGCCGCAGTGGCATTGAAAGTACATGATAGCCACCAAATAATGTAATAGTCTGGTAAAGCTTCTTAGTGTCATTCCTTTTACCACTATTTAGTTATTCCTCTCTGATGATATTACCCATTTCTATCTCAGTATCGTGTATCGGATATCGCAGATCCCATTCATTTGTTTATACCCCGTTTTCGTTTTTAAAGACTGCAGTTACGTCAGCCTCCACCCGTAATGTTCGGCCCTATCCGCGTGCGATCGTTGACTGGGGGCCACGACCCTGACCCCCCCCCCCTCAGGCCCCCCAGTCACCTGGTGGTGGACCTGGGCTGCGGGGACGCCCGGCTGGCGACCAGCGTTAGGCAGCGCGTGCTCTCCTATGACCTGGTGGCTACCAATGAGCGGGTGACCGCCTGCGACATGGCCCACCTACCGCTGGAGGATGGTGCCGCCAACGTGGCGGTGCTGTGTCTGGCGCTGATGGGAACAAACCTGGTGGATTTCGTCATGGAGACGAATCGCATCCTCAAGATGGGGTGAGTACTGTTGGTAGCGTCAATTACGTATTTGTTGCGGCAGGCGTGCGTTTGTTTATTGTTTTTCTTTGCGACGTTTGCGTTGGCGTTTCGGGCGTGCGTTTTGCGGTGTTTGCGTTTTGCGGTGGGTGGTCGTTTTTCACAATTCAAAGTCCAAACCTTCGGGCCGCAGTGCTCCTCGAAAAGCGCTGCCCTCGAGTATGGTGTACTTCCTCTCACACATGTGGCGTTTAGCGGCGTTCTTCCTCGGCTTTCGAATCCACGTATATCACGTGCCGGCGGTCTCCAATCGGCAGCCAATCATGACGGTGTCCTACTCTTTTCCAGCGGCCAGCTGCGGATAGCAGAGGTGGCCAGCCGGTTCGACTCAGTCGACGACTTCGTGAAGTCGCTGCAGGCCTATGGCTTCCACTTTATCAGTCAGGACCTGTCGCACAAGTACTTCTACATGTTCAGCCTGAAGAAGGTGGCAAATGTGGACAGGAAGCGGCGGAAGGAGTTGCCGGAGATCACGCTGAAGCCCTGCCTCTACAAACGGCGGTGACGGGCCGCGGGAGGGCGGGGCAGGTCGGCTGGGACGAATTGGTGACCGGTATCGACGATTAAAGGTCTATGATCTAGCACAGTGTTAATAAACCATGGAAAAATGCTTTTGTTTGAAATCATATGCTAAAGTAGGTACACGGCACGAGTTTCTTCTCGTGTGCATCCAGTGACGATGATCACATCTTGAACGTAGTGGATATTAAATGATAAATACCCGCAATACCTAGGCCACCTAAATGAACCTATAATTATTCGTTTTAGTTTCCCAGGATTATTCTGAACAGGTCGCCCGAACACCTCAGTTTGGTATGCCTCAGCTTTATTCAGTCTATACACAGGCAACATTTGAACGGCACGGCACCATGTTCAGTGTCATGTAGTATGAATGTTCTGGGTTCTGATCTTTTCTCCAGGCGCGGCCACGGGTCTGAGCTCCAGCCCAGAGCCTCGGTCACCGGCGCCCGCTCTGCTGGCGACCGCGGGGCAGTCCCTCAGAGTGAGATGCCCTGGTCTGTCATTAGACGGATTATAATAATCACTCGCGTAGAGCGCCCAGAAAGAAGCAGATAATATTTCCTATAGCGGGCGGCACCGCCCAGCGCGCGAAATTCGCGTACAATAGCACTCGACTTCCACTGCCGACCGCATCAACAGCTAAAAAACCACTGTCGTAAGTATCTTAAACGAACACAATCGCTCGAACAGATCGTCCCATGCTGAAAACATCGACAAACCCCGGCACCTCGCGACCACCGCACCACATTCACACCCACACACAGACGCGCCGGCATGGTAGGACCATCCCTCCAGAATAAAATACTCGAAAGTTCGGCCAGCGCCGGCCGCCCTGCCACCTCCTGTCGTGCTCCCTCCAGTTCCGTTCGGTATCGCCACGGTCCGAGCACAGTGTGAACCAGATCTGAACGGACGAACCCTCCCCGGTTACAACCAATGTCTGCGCGTCGCCACATCCGGCGGTCAGTACATCCGCCGGCGGCACGGGTCGCTCAGGTCGCCAGCCACCGACCCTTCCGACGGAACCTGGCGACCGGTGAGGGTGAGCCCGGCACTCAGCAATGCCGCTCGACACGGGATTGTACCGCCAAGTCGCCTCTCTGGACTCGAAGGACGGACCCACAGACCACGCCTCGTTCGGCCGGCGCCTCCGGGCCGCCGGAGTGACGCCCGCTCAGCCGCCACCCAACCTGGCTGCCCGGACGGCGGCGCCGCCAGTCTACATGGGCCGGTACTGGGCGGGGAAGCGCACCGTGCGACTGCGTGCCAGGTGGTCCGACAGGAAGCTCCAGCCGAGCTTGTTGTACAGCTCGCAGACCTTCTGTTCGTTGTCGACCGACGGCCTATCGTCGGCGATCTTCTGCTGGTAGCGCAGTGCCAGGCCGAACCGGCCGTGCGCCACCGCGTGACGGACCGAAAACGGCAGCAGCTGGGGGGGGGGGGGGGGAAGGGAGGGGGCAGAGGGTCAGCGAGGGCAACGCTTCGAAATACCAGGTCACATAGGGAAAACATTGCCAACCAACAACCACATTTGCCATTATCAGCATTCATAATTTAATGGCGCGATGTGAGTACAATTGCCTAATCAGTCATCAGCCGCGAACGCAATCGTCCCATCCCTCGCTTTGTTATTCCACAAACATTGAAAAGATATAATACTAACGTCTAATACGTTATATCATACCTAACGATCTCTCTTTCCGCCCATCTGTCTAACCACTCTCACTCTCTCTACGCCCTCTCTCCTTCTCCCCACTCCCCATCCTCACCTTGGCATCTGTCGGGTCGGCGAACTCGAGTGCCGAGTTCATCAGATCCTGAATGTTGGCCAGCGTGGCCATGGAGAACACGTCAGCAGGCTGCTTGCGCTCAGCGCACTCGCACAGCACGACTCCCTTGCGGGAGATGGCGTCCAGCAGAGCCGACCGCTCCCTCTCCATGTCACTGCGGAGGGGGGGGGGAGGGGGTGAGTTGGGGTTCAGGGCGCACAGGCTAAGGTGGTCATCGGTGACGGCGGGTGGGGACAAGATAATGTGGGATACCACGTCATGTGTATTACGGATGGGTATTAGGGATGGATCATACAAACAGTTGTACGTAAGAAACCGACAATGGTGTGCAAGTGTGTGTAGGGTGAAGTCGTATAAGAGTACGCACTTAGTGGATTTCTTGCTCTCATTTGTTTAATATTTGAAGGAAAGAAATCGCAAATAGGGAATATTAAAGTTCATTGAATTAGCCATCAACCCATGGGGCAACAATCCTTCAGCGTAAATGGAAGTGGTCTAAAACTGACATTTTCTGAACCGTTGCACTTGCGTACTCTTACCATATGGGGTGTGTAAGAGTACGCACGCCAGGCGGGTGGAGTACGCAAGCATATGAAAACACACCTATGCAGCTTGCACTGTCCAAATGCTTAACTTCAAACTCAGAAGGCATTTAAGTTAATTCTAGTATCCAAAAAGAAAAACATAAAATAAATCTTTCAAGTCTATAAATCAGGAAATAATCATGTCGCGTGTTTCTTAAAAAAAAATGCACAATCAAAAAGGAGAATAGCTCGTATTTGGAAGAATTTCGGGTACGCATCTGCATCACAGTGCTCCATTGATGATATACCTACAAAACAAACGTCATTGAGCGATAGATTAATAATTCTATATTTCTGTATATTCGATTTAATGTATAATTCTGCGTACTCTTACCCTCCTGAACAGTGCGTCCTCTTACCGTACATCAATTCGCGCACAAAACAACCCCGAAACGTTGTGCAAAACTTCGCAAACAGAATATTGCACTGTACAGTATTTCCCCAGATAACCTCACAAGTTTCCCACAACAATCACGGAAATGTACCTTATCTCAACTGCCAAGTATCAAAATTATTGTACCATATCATAATAATATCATAACGCTCGAAAATAATATTCATCGCCTTAAACTCAACAGCGTCACCGCTCAACGCCCACGTTCCGTTGGTGACATGCACGCACTGGCGGCTTCATGTCACTTCATGAACTCGACAAACCCGCGTTGCTAAGCAACCGAAACAGCTGATGCGTACTCTTATCGCCCGCGTACTCTTACCCGCCCTTACCCTACATGGTTCAAAGCCTGGATGGCCTTGATATGTGGATGCCAGTATAAATGTCTGAGGGGCTGTAAAAACTAAGTTGAATGTTACACCAAAGTAAATTGCATGTATGCACGTATGTATGAGCATACCATGACAGTTTCTTCCCGGCCCAATCATCTCCCTTCGCCCACCGTCGTACTTTTTGACGGACTGATCCTCCGTGCTGGCGTTCTTTCGACCGTAGTAGGTGAGCAGACGGGCCCGGTCCACGTCCTGAATGACGGCGTCCGCGCGGCGGACGATCTCGGCCGCGTCCTTCTCCTGGGGGAGGGGGAGGGGTCGTCAAAGGGACGCAGTAGCACAGGCCCAGGGGGAGGATGACATCAGGAGTCCACGGAGGCCTGTCAGAAGCAAGCTCAGGATTCTAGACGCATCAAGAGCTTTTGATGTTGATATCCGTGGGAAGCATTATGTTATCAGGGTAAGTGTTTGTACAATATCGATATGAAAAATATAGCGGTTCGTGGATGACTCAATCGTGTCAATCGGACACCGATCAAACTCAAACGCGTACCAGACACCGTCCTCCCCACACCGCATCTCAGTCGTCCCGACTACCACCCTCCCCTCACTACTGCCTCCGTCCTCACCTGCATCGTATCTAGCGTCTGCAGTTTGGCGCTGTTGGCCAGAATCCGGTCCAGCCGCTCTCCATTAGCCAGCACCTCCTCCAGCAAGGCGGTCGCCGTGTCGCCGCCGCCTGATACCGGTTAGAGAACAAGTGTTATACGGGTGATGCGAGTAGAGCGTGGGACTGATGCCAGAAGTAAGCGGTGGGAGACAGTGTACCAAAAATATATTTTGGATTGGGTGTCGGAGGGGAATATTCGTCACTACAAAGAGGGCTGAGAGTGGAAAATTGCCAGTCAGGAAGGCACAAAAGGAGCGGAAAACAGAGATCAACAATTTATTTGTGAATGTTGGGGAGGGTGCGGGAGCTGCGTTATAGGATGATTCAATAAAATATAGAGAGGTAAAAGGTACACGCAGATGCTCCTGATTGGTAAAACAGGGGAGTGAAAAATCGCTCTGGAAAATTGGAGATGAGAGTGGAAAATTATTTTGATTTGGGTGTCGCTTCCCACCCAAACTGGCAAATTTTGGGACGTACGGGCTCCCTAGACTTAGCTAGGTAGGGACACATTGCTGATGCTTCAGAAAAGGGGCGGGGCCTTGTCTAAAAGAGCCACTTCGGGTCTTCAAAAGCGTGTCTGTGAACCACGCAACATCTGCAATTTTCACCAAAGAAGATCAGACAACGGCATGCGATGCTATTAAGTTTCACGAAACAATTCAGTCGATTAGTTCAGCTACGATGGCTAATCAAACTAAATGTGTTAAAAGACAGCGCCGTCGTCTCACCGGCTCCGAGCCGGCCGATCCACATGATCTTGAAGTCCTTGAGGGCGTTCTGGTACTCGTCCTGCTTGGAGGTCTTCTCCTTGTCGGGCTTCGAGGCGCCGCTCTTGCGCGGCACGTCCGGAATCATGTAGCGGAATGGAAACTGACCCTGCGGGGACAGACGGACGAGGGGAGGGGGTGATGATGGTGTGTGGGCGAACGGGCTATACACACTATACAGATTACAGACTATCCAGAGCAGTGTTCGCTGTGCAGGTGCATTTCAACAAAATACTCTGCTTGCCGTATACCGAATGGCGAATACACTGACTGGTGAAAATAATGTGTAGAAAGAAAATAGAATGCAAAACAGGACATAACTGACTGCAATGATATGTTCCGCAGATGTAACGTCTTGCCCTAAAATCATTTACTCTATGCCATGAAATCTGCTTCGATGTTTGCGTCTACCTGATGACTAAGCGCGAAAAGTGTTGGAAAAATACATATTCAAAATTAAGCTACGTTAACTCATTGTTTCGGTGACAAAATTAATCAGCAAGAAATGAAGCTGAGGCTGCAGCTCTGAAGCATTACGCGGTGATGA